CCCACTGCAACCTCCTTCTCTTAGATTCAAGCCATTATCTTGCCTCAGTTTCCAGAGTAGCTGGGATTACAGGCATGTGCCACCATACCTGGCTAATTTTGTATTTTCAGTAGAGACAGGGTTTCTCCTGTCTCTGTACCTCAAGTGATCCACCTGAATTAGACTCCCAAAGTGCTGGGATTACAGGCATGAGCTACCATGCCCAGCTAGCTTTATTTCTTTATTACCCCTCTGCTTTATTTTGAGACCAAGTCTTGCTCTGTAGCCCAGGCTTGAGTATAGTGGTACAGTCTTGACTCACTGCAGCCTTGACCTCCTGGGCTCAGATGATCCTTCCACGTCAGTAACTGGGACTATAGGCATATGCCACCATGCCTGGCTAATTTTTTTGTAGAGATGAGGTCTTGCTATGTTTCCCAGGCTGTCCTGGAATTCCTGGCCTCAAGCGATCCTCCCATCACCCCCTCCCAAAGTGCTGGTATTATAAATTATAAGCATGAGCCAGAAGCTAGGCTGTCCATGTTTTCTGTTTATTTATAGAGTTGATGTGTCTTTTACTAATTAGATGATCTATTTAATCTTCTATTAAATGATAAAAATAGTGAATACTTTTAAATAAAGAAGTGAAAAATTTCCTTTACTCTTTAGCCACATAATCTTATCTTAGGAAATGATTGGCCATATTCTTCCAGTATATACAGACTAATTGAATATCACTTCTCATTTTTATATTTCCTGGACATCTGTGTCAATTTCTGTTGATCTATCTGAATCCTTTCCGTGGTTGCATAATGTTGTATTATATGGATATATCACAGTTGACCAGCCAGTCTCTGTAGGCATTAAGGCTCCTTCTAATATTTGCTTTCAGCTCTTTATATCATTAAAAATTAACCTCCTCAGCAGGTGTGGCAGCTCACACCTGTAATCCCAGCACTTTGGAAGGCTGAGGTGGGAGAACTGCTTGAGGGAAAAGGATCACCACCAGCCTGGTCAACATAGCGGCACTTTGTCTCTACTAAAAATTAAAGATAAAATGAGCTGGACATTGCAGTGCACACCTGTAGTCCCAGCTACTGGGGAGGATGAGACTGGAGGATCCTTGAGCCTAGGAGGTTGAGGCTGCAGTAAGCTATGATCACACCACTGTACTCCAGCTTTAGTAACAGTAAGACTGCATTTCTTAAATAAAATAAAACTTAGGTTGGAAGATTGCTGAAGCCCTGGAGGTTGAGGCTGCAGTGAGCTGTGATTGCACCACTGGAGTCCAGCCTAGGTGATAGAGCAAGATTCTTTCTCAAAAAAATAAAATAAAATGAAAATTAATCCTTTAGCATATTTCCTGGTAACACCTTCCCTCCTATATTGTTCCTAGAAACTCTTGAATTTTGTTTGCTTTTCACATACCTTTTAAAATTTTTATGGGATTGGATGGATGTTCGTGTCATTCTTCTTTTATTTTTAAAGAATGTCTTTTTGTCATTTCCAGCTGGATCTACCATGAAAGACTTCAGAGTTCAGGAAGAGACTGACTGAGCATCATATTATTCAGGTACAAAAAGACTTGGACAGTAACTCAAAAATGATCACATAATAGTGCTTGCATCAAGTACAATGGGAAGCTCTTCTGGAGAGTGGGACAAGCTTCCAGATAAGGTGACATTGAAGCTGGGTTTTGAAAGATGAGGAAGAGTTGTGTGAGAGTGGGGAGGGAATGGTGATGTGGAGGGATGGGGAATGGGCAGGGACACCAGCACTGTAAAGACCTGAACAATTAAGATGGCACATTTGGTTCAGGGAATGGGGAATTAGGTGTGGCAGGAATGCTTTGGAGAGACAGTAATTTGCTTGTGTGGAATTTTGCCTGAGAGACCTCACTACAGTTTCTAATCTTGTGATGTTATCATCCATTACTGTCCCTGTCAGATAGTTTGGAATAGGTATGATGATCACAGTAACATCAAGCATAATACTTGATGAATTCTTACAAAATCACAGGCAGGTACCATAGTTATCCCCATTTTATGAATGAAGTGATGAAGACTTAGGGATAAAGAGTGATTTGCCCAATCTCACATAGATATTAAGCTGAGTCAGATGTAGGGTCTGGTTTGACTTTAATGCTTGCTCTGTTCATGAGCACCACGTATTGCCTCTCCTGTGCAGTTAAGCAGGTAGGTGAAAGAAAAGCCTGTGTTTCTCTCTAGTCACACACTTTGACTGACTGACTGTGTATGTGGAGCTTATACATCAAATTCTCCAGTACTCTGGATATTAACTGGGTATCCCACAATATTATTCTGACACTACCTGGAGCTGGCATAGAACCTACAGGTTAGGCGCCTAGTCCCATGAGACTACCCTCACTTCAGATGCCAATGGCAAGTACTAGATTGTCACCTATACTTTTGACTAACCTGTTACAAATCAGGGGTTCTCATGACCCCCTTCTTGAATTTAACCATTTGCTAGAAAGCTTACAGAACTCAGAAAAACAGTTTATTTTCTTTTTTTTCTGAGAGACAGGGTCTCAGTTTTGTTGCCCAGGCTGGCCACAAATTCCTGGGCCCAAGCGATCCTCCCACCTCAGTCACTTATCTCAGAAACAGCCAATGAAAGAGATGTGCATGCTGGATGCAGTGACTCACACCTGTGATCCCAGCACTTTGGGAGGCTAAGTTCGGTGGATTGCTTAAACTCAGGAGTTAGAGATCATCCTGGGCAACATGGTGAAACCCTGTCTCTATAAAAAATACAAAAGTTAGCTGGGTGTGGTCATGTACACCCATAATCCCAGCTACTCAGGAGGCTGAGGTGGGAGAATCACTTGAACCCAGGATGTAGAGGTTGTAGTGAGCTGAGATCATGCCACTGCACTCCAGCCTGGGCTACTGAGCGAGACTTTTTCTCAAAAAATAAATGAAAATAAATAACTAGGTGTGGTGGTGTACACCTGTAGTTTCAGCTCCTGGGAAAGCTGAGGTGAGGATGCCTTGAGCTGGGGACTGGGGAAACTTCGGTTGCAATGAGCTGAGATTGTGCCACTGCACTCTAGCCTGGACCAAAGAGCCAGACCTTGTCTTAAAAAAAGGAGAAAGGAAGGAAAGGGAGAAAGAAACAAAAGAAAGATGGTTGCCCAGGGGAAGGTAAGTGGGAGGGACACAACTTCCATGCCCTCTGTTGAACATGCCACCCTCCCAGTACCTCCTGTGTTCAGCAGCGCAGAAGCTCTGCAAACCCTGTTCAGGGTGTTTATGGAGCCTCTATTATGCAAGCACAATTGATAAAAATCTTTGGCCATTGGTGATTAAGTCAATCTCCAGCCCTTCTTGCCTCCTGGAGTTCAGGAGATGAGGCTGAAAGTTCCAAGCCTCTAATCATGTGGTTGCTTTCTCTGGCAATCAGCCCTCCACTTGAAATCCAGAAGCGTGCAGCCACCCACATCCCCAAATGCATTATTAGCATACTGGAGATCCCAAAGTTCTTAGAGCCTCTTGTGTTAGAAAGCTGGGTCTAAGACCAAATATTAAAACTAAAGTTGCTCCTATCACCTCTATCACTGAGGTCTTTATGAGCTTTACAAGCACTGTGCCAGGAACCAGGGACAGAGACTAAATATATATTTCTTTTCTTTTTTTTGAGACAGAATCTCCCTGTGTCATCCAGGCTGGAGCACAGTGATGTGATAATGGCTCACTATGGGTTTGACCTCCTGAGCTCAAGCGACCTTTCTGCCTCAGACTTTGAAGTAGCTGGGACTACACATGCATATCACCCATGCCGAGCTCATTTTTATAGAGACAAGATTTAGTTAGGTCTCCCAGGCTGATCTCAAACTCCTGGGCTAAAGCCATTATCTCACCTTAGCCTCTGAAGTAGCTGGGACTGCAGGTGCACACCACCATGTCTGGCTAATATTTATTTTTATATTTTTTTAGAGATGGGGTCTCACTACATTGTCCAGGCTAGTTTCAAACTCTGGGCCTTAAGTGTTCCTTCTACTTTGACCTCCCAAAGTGTTGGGATTATGGGTGGGATCCACTGTGCCCAGCAATCACAAAGATCTTTATAAAAAAAAACAGTAGGAGAGTCAGAATTGGAGCAGGAGACGTGGTGATGGAAGCAGAGTTAGTGAGGGAGATTTGAAGATGCCTCACTTCTGGCTTTGAAGATGGAGTTAGGGGCCATGATCC